CTCTTCCAGCTCCACTACGAATTGCATCATACCCTATAAGTATACCCAAGTTCCAAGGTAACATAAAATCCCTCTTGACTAAGTTACGTTACCTAACTTCAACAAAATTATCTTTCGTTAACCTTAACGTGGTCAACCTTGAACACTCTTCCCTCCTATTTTGAACAGGGCCGGCGTCTCGTGTAATTATATTTCGTTAAAAGCTTAGAGGACATTTTCCCAAACGCAGTTTGTCACGATACAGGGAAATAAGTTTACAACAACGACGACGTGGCCAGCATAGGTGGCGCAGCGACACGCCGTGTTTATCCGTGTGGTGCCATAACTAAGTAGCGGTGGCTCTGTGTGGCGAATAGCTTTTTAACCGTTCCTATCAATCTAAAAAGCCTGAGGTTCTGTTACTTACTGGAAGGGCTATGTCGCTATTCAGCTCAGAGGCCGCGTGCCCAACTAAATCACGCTGGATTTAAGTGGATTCTACAAACTCCCCTACGCCCGACTACGACGATGTATTGCCCTTGTAGGGTCGTTGCGACGCCATTCTACCGCAACGTGGATATGCTCGTCTAAAAGATTTTTGCTCGTGTCTCTCTTCTTCTTCCTTTTTCTTTCTCCCTGTCCCGATAACAGTACTTTTGGCAAATTTTCTAAGTACATTTTCACGATGACGTAAGTTTCCTCGAGTTTAGGAACTTCAGGTCTGTGACCGGATCAGCGAGGAAATTAGTGTTAGTCGTGGATATTATATTTAAATGAAAAATATTATTTATTTGTTAAACAATATTATAACTCTAGATAAAAAATTATCGAAGAAATATATCTAATTCCGTTTACACTTTCTCACGTTATTGGTACACACGTTTGCTCTCAATCAATTTTAAATTGTAACTGATCTATCAAAATACTCTCCCATTTGTTCTCTTTTCTTTCATACGTTACATAAATTTACACAGTCTATATCACATTTCATTTATTACTTGCAGGATCGACTCATTCATTCTTTTTTACAGTCATCATTTATTTTACATTAATATATATATATATTAACCCTTTGAACTCGAGAGGCAACTCTCGATAGCCATTTAAACAGATTCTAAAGATCTATGTTAATTAATATTGTTAAGCCTTGGAATGTCGTCCCGGTATTTCGTTTGGCCCTTTGTTTAGAATAGACCGTGTGAAGGCTCTGAAATTTCTCAAGTACCATTGATGCGGCCCTAGGACCGCAATGTCCCAAGTAGAAGGCTGTTTATATCCTTACTGTCAGCGCCCTTTGATTTCTTCAGCACCTAAGCCACCACTTATGTAATCCGTAACTAACAACTATATATCACCCTTCAAGACGACGAGCACAATTATCTAGATTGTTTAAACAACCACCACCACCGAAGGACGCTGAAGTTAACATACACCCCCAACATCATAGCAACCAATCAGCAGAGAGACCAGGACTATATAACCATCGAGAGATCAGGAAGAGTCAGTCAGTCAATATCATTCGAACAGTTCAGAAGAGTTATCCGAAACTACTACGTAAAATACAGTCCACTATAACCACAACCTTCCTCAAGAAATTTGGTTCGTCATTAACCGTCGCCAATTGAGGACGACGTATTGACGATATACAAATATATTAAATTTAAAATTACCCAATGACACTTGGAACGTCGAAGTAAAATAATTCTACGTCTTAATTTGCATACGATTTCTTATTTATCGTTTTAAAAATATCCTCGACTGTATGACAGAAAGTTTTTGAATTACTATTTTTCTCTAACGACAAAATCGTCAAATGCAAAAGATTAAAAAATTTATGTCAATCATTACTACAATTAGCCGTTTGAATCCCAGGGATTTTTAAAAAAACGCGGTTCAAAAACCTCGAACAGGGAGATAGCACTTGTCTTAATCGAGTGCGAAGAAGTCCAAACGATCCGATAGCACTTGTTTAATTTTATGTCAAAAAATCCCAATCGACGCGATAACGCTTGTGGGTGCTATGTGACGTACGTGACGTATGTGATGACACTTCGACGGTCAGTGATAGCATAGTCAATTGTCGATAGTACTCGAAATGTACTGGGATTTATCTTCACAAAATCTGAAGAGGACGACCGCGCTGCTTGGGACTCATACAGTTAGAGTATACATTTCTTGCGTCGCAATGATACTTGCTTAACACGTTACGTGCCCAACCCGTTTTGCTTGCCGTTCCGTTCAGGCCCAGACTTGGCCGTCAAGTGGGCCACCGGCGGCAAGCGAAGTATCCATAAAACTCGGAGATATTGTACCAATTGTTGTAGTAGGAATTTTCAAACGTCAGGTTCAAAGATGGCGAAAAATTTAACACCAAAAGTTAGCACCTTTTGGTCCTAGTTTGGGCCGGTTCCTGAGGCTCGGCCGGGCCTGAACGGAAAATTTAGCGCCGGTTCCTAAGAACCGACGTGACGTTTAACGTGCTAAGGGAGATCTAGGATACACCGAGGACTTGCGAGAAAATCCTGCAACCTCCTTCAAGTAGGAATCCATCTAGTGGCGAGGGTGAGACTGAAGATCGCTACAGTCGTAAGTCTAGAATAAGTTAATTCGGAATAAATTATATTTATTATTCACCATCGTCGTTTTCCTGCCACCCAACAATCCTACATATACGAGAAGAGATGCAATCCTTCGATGAACTCGGTAAACGTTGACCTCTGCGTATTTCTTCGAATTTTGATCTAAAATCGAAGTATAATGGTACGACAGAGCTCGACCTTAGGTCTGAACCGGCATGGCACTTAAAGTGTAAAAGAAGTTTTAAGAAAGTTAACGTTAAATTTTATTACTATAAAAACGTGATTATTTATGACTATATTGTAGAGATATGGTGGTTGTTAAATAAAATAAAACTATTTATTAAACATAAAATAATAATACAATGTGCGGTGACGGTAAAGATTACGAATATAGATATATATATCAACTAAACTCTTACGACTACAACTAACGACACGATTACAACTAACAACACAATTACAACTAACAACACGATTACAACTAACAACACAATTACAACTCACTGACAGCTTGACTATCTCTCAAGCACTGTCTCTCAGAAAGGCCCCCTAACCATTTCTGCCTTCCTTATATATTCCCTAAAAAGCCTCTCCCAACACGACCAAATATGGTCATGCTAAGGGCCTGACGCATCACTGGGGTTTTTCCGAATGACCTGGCCCTCGAACCCTCGGCGACTTTCCAAACCAAAGTCACCTACACACGATGTGGCCATTCTGCGATACTAAAATATTTTTAATAAATTGTTTGTATTGTTATCATCTGTGCATGTTTAGATATACATTCTAGGTCGGTAACTCTGTATAGCATCAATTATTGTATTCCTTTGCTGAGTATATTATACTACGTGTTCAGTGCTCAATGCTGTGTCATCAGTGAAAGTAACATCGAAAATTCTATCTGTTTTCCCGCTCATTTGGAGGATGTTCTTGAGAGAAATAAAAGGAGAGCTTTTTATATTACAAAGAGATTTAAAGGTAATCGTATAAATCTATCGAACTGCGAATTTCACATACCTAAGCTATTTATGTATTATATAAGTTACAATCTGGAACTAAGAAAGGAATTTGTATTGGATATTGAAGAGGAAGTTTAAGGGTATAGAATTTTAAATCCGCTCGAGTAGGGGCTGTATGCCATAAAAACTGCAAGGTTTAACCAAAATTCACGTACAGCAAAGATGTTGAGGAAAGAAAGGAAGACACGAAGAAGAAAGAAAAATGTTTTAAAAAAGAAAGAGTGGCAAAGAGAGAGAGAGGGGGGGGGGGCAGAAAGACATCTAATTGGGAAACAAAAGTGTTCAAATAAAAGAATTTCATATAATAGAACAAATAATTAGTATTCAATTTTATTCGATACTTTAAACAAAATAAAATATTATTAAAAAAATTATAAAATCAAAAAGAGACAATATTGTATAAACCACTATTTTTTGAATTGAAAATGTTAAAAATATATTGATTGATTTTGCAAAACTATATTTTTATGTTAGATTTCTTCACAAAATTTAATCACAGGATTAAATATTCTTTTTTAGATCCTATCATATATGTTTTCAATTGTCAACACTATTTTTCCTATTTTGGTAATATATTTTGGTTATATCGTATTATTGGTATGTGTTATTATTCATCACTATATCAATATTAAACTATGACAATATTACCCAAGTGTTATTATTTCTGTATAATACCTATGTCAATTTTATATTGAATTATTGTGAATTATTTTGAATAGACTTCAGTCCTCTCTACAGAAGCAAATAAACATTTTACAGTTTCATGAAATATGTTAAATATAATTTTAATCATACACAAATGTAACCTGTCATTGATCGATTTGTCACGAAAACTCATGACAAACTAGACCCGTTATAGCATAATCAATACTTTTCAATAGTATCCGAAAATTGTATAATTTTTTTGAAGATACAACATTTATTTCAATACATTTTTTCCTGATAAATATATAAATCGTGCATTTTGTAACCAATTTAATTAATTCCAACGGAATTTTTTGAAATCTATTATTAAATCAATTATATCTACATTAATTTCTTCCTCGGGTCTATATAATCAGATTGTATCTAAATTCTACCAATTAAAAATTTAGTTTCTAAAACCAATTTCACAGGTGCCGATAAAAATAGGTGTAAAACTGTCGGAAAATCTAGCGTTAATGGAATCGTGTAAGACGAACTTCCAATTTATCTCATTCAGTAATTCTCTTCTCTTTCTTTCTTTCGTCTATGTAGAATTCATCTGCTGGTTTTCAGCTGGCTAATACATTTTATCGAATTGCAGAGATTCCTTCGATTTTCTCCTTCGAACGTGTTTCTCGAAAATGTAATTTGGTATCCGAAGGTGCAAGCTGCCAATGGCTTTCGGTGTATTTGAGAAAAATCGATAGTAAATTATCCAATGAAAGTAAAACTCACTCACATAAGCAAAGATGCAGAACCGCAGTGAAGAGAGCTGCGAGTTTCCGTGCTGCCATGAGAAACAACCACTTTTGCGATGACAGTTCAGCACACTACTTGACGATCTGAAAGCAAACAAAACTAAGTCTGTCTCACTCTGTTTTATGTAATGAAACTTTCAGCGACATTTGGAAATTTCGTATCTACGTTTTGAAAGTTTAAACTCGATAGTCGATTGGTACGTGAACGTTCCAGTAATGTTTCTGTATTAACCCTTTGCACTCGACGATTTTTTGACTAAAGAAGAGTAGAAATTCAAAGATTCTCTATTAAAAAACTGACGATAATTTTCTGAGTAGTAAATAAAAAATTGTATAATAATAGAATTGTAGAATCATTTGATTTCAATGCCTCGCACAGTATTACTTTACATTAAATTTGATATATTAATTAATATCGATCCTCCAAATTCTATGAAATGGTGACTGAAGCTCACCCCTCGAGTGCAAAGGGTTAAATTCAATAAGATGGGAACACCCAAATGTTATCGTATCATAGACACAAAGGTATTATATAATCTATTAGAATATTCAAAATGTGAGTGAGTCAAAATTTGGAGTACAGCTGAAAGGAAGTATTAATAAATTGTAAACGTGAGAATATTAGCGAATAAATTAGAAATTAGATAGACCTTAACACTCAATGCACGGATTATGAAGATTCTGTAAAAATGACTAATTTTGCAAAACTAAATTTTTATGTTAGATTTCTTCACAAGATTTAATCACAAGATTAAAAATTCTTTTTTAGATTCTATTACACATGTTTTTAATTGTCAGCACTATTTTTCCTATTTTGGTAATATGATATATTTTGATTATATCGTATTATTGGTATGTGTTATTATTCACCACTATAACAATATTAAACTATGAAAATATTACCCTAATATAAACACCTACGTCAATTTTATATTGAATTATTGTGAATAATTGCGAATAGACTAACAAAATAAAATTTGTACAGCAAATGCGATGGAAAAATACACAGAAATGAATAATGTGAAAGATAATAGCAATTTCAATCAAGGATATCGTTGAAGTCAGTGAAACTCAGGATTCGTGCATAATTTTTAGCTGTAGATGTTTAAGGGGTAAGCAATGAAATGAGAAAAATAATTTACTTATTATTTTCTTACACGTTTGTAAATATAAGAATGAAGTATTTTCACCGAATTGAATGTTGTTTATTCAATACAGTTTTCCAAAATCAAATTCAAATGAAACCGTATTAGTAAACGATGTTATAACTAGTTAAAATGTATTTAGATGACTTTTGTACTGAACTTGCAAGTTCTCAAGATTCTAAACCTCATTATATTTATAACTGGTAACGTTTTGCAAACTGTGTATCATATTCTATCTCTTCTTCCCGCGATGAATTTTCAAAACTTCGATAAAATTTATCCACGGTTTATTTCTTAAATTCCATACAAAATTTGAGAAATTTTGTAATAGTCTTTCATTCGTATTTCGCGCCTTGGTCTAATGCTCATAACTGTGCGCAGTTACTCTAACCTCTTAAGGTACCATATTCTTTAGTGACTTATTTAGACACAAATGCATAATTCCTTTTTAAAAACGTTATGTCCTTATAATATAATTACGTATATTTTTGCGACTATAATGATGTACCATTTTTTCAGATAGTTTTAATAATTTTAACATAATAAAATGCAAAATATATAAGAATTAGGAAGTGGCGAAAGCAAGTGCTTTTATGAATAAGAAAATGCGATTTTTTATTAGTATAGGTATAATTATATAAGTAATTTAAAAATCTTAAATAATATAATAAATTTTATATATTAAGTTTAAATTATAATATAATCAAAAACTATTAAAATGAATACAAGTTAATTTGTAGGTATATCTAAAAATTGCATATTACTTTTCCACTAATTTAATTTATCATTTTTATAATTATTATATTGCCATCTGACTAATACAATCTTTATTCAATCATTGTATACCTTTGTATCGTACTTTTTAAAGCAATCAAAAAAAGATTTTTTCAGATAAAAATTTTATTTAGTATTTTAACCAAATCATTGAAATGAGTAAATACTATAACAAAACTATTGCATATCTACATATATAACTGAAAGAAGAAACATAAGAAAAATGTGAAAGTAAGTTATCCTCAATATTATTTTTCTTAATAACATTCTCTAAGTTTTATACAATACTATAAATGTTTCGTTATCAGCTTCAGCATAAATAATTACATGAATTTGTTATGCTGTTATCTGTACTACTTTAAGTATCAATTTCTTGCGTTTGCTATTGAGTATATAACATTGATGTTACTAAATTTATTATACATATATAACATTAATATTTAGAGTATTACATACTTTTTCTGTGACAAAAATAAATTCCATGAATTGCAAGTTGTCTTAAGGTAAAAAAGTCAGAGCCAAATCAATTTTATCGATAACCTAAAAACAGCAGTGTCTCCATCTACCTCCATCTACGACGTTACAGAAATTCGCAGTAAAACTCTCTGCCTTAACGAATGGTCGTGTACGAGCAATCAAGTGTAAAATGCAATTAAGAGATAACGACGCATAGACCTTTATCACGGGTCCCTTTTAAAAAGACTGACTAGTGAATAAATGAATATCCGAAGTAATTGGTTGTCGAGTGATGTTGCTTTTGAAGTTCTCAGGGTGGGCTGACCCATTATTCATCGCGAAATCTTAATCAGTCTATTGTAACCTCAATTTCCAATGATTAATTCGAATCAGTCCATTATATCCTTAACTCGTTCCAGTAGAAGGAGCTGTCAAGAAGGAGGATCGATGGTCGTTTTGACAGTTTTTCTCCTTTCGTAATGGTCGTAACTCGAACTGGAAAGTAATAAATTTGATCGGCTTAGATCGTTCGATTTTCGAAACGAATTTTTATGAAAATCATATCCACCATGAAAACTTTTTATAACTTTGCCTAGATTTAATGGAACTTTACGAGGTTATGGAGCGATCAACTGATACGTATCCTTTTTTTCCTTAATGTATTCTCGATTCGAGGAACAAACTTGCGTACGTAGCTCCTGCTCGCTCGAAGTTTAAAGGACGTGAACAATTTTTCCCAGATCTAACTTAAATTCAATATACGTAACTGGGCCTGCATTAGAAGCTCTTTAATACAGGGTGTCTGAGAAATTCTCTTCGCTTTTAATGCATACAAGAATTTTATGGAATGTATAATACAGTGATAGTTGGTTCTTAATATTTTCGACTTTTAAGTAGTCTTAAGTGTACGTTATGAATGTATTTAAAAATACTAAAATACCAAGGAAGACATACGAATAATGAAAACATACGGATGAAAAGATAATAAAAATTGTCAAAAATAAAAAAGGAAAATGAAGATATAAAATAATAAAATCAAAAATAAAGTTAGATATATTTATAAAATGTTATGGTATGAGCTCTGGTTTTTTATTGAAAAATTAATTTTGGAACAGACAAAGCTATTATTGAAAAAATAAATGAAATTGTAAGAAAATATTCCACTTATGAAGTTAACGTTGCATTTATGGTGATACTTTACTACTTATCTACAATATTTAGTTGGAGTATGATAACACGATTTACAATTGATGGAAGAATTCGAATATAATTTCTAAGTATAAGTCTTATGGGGGTCCTCCCCCATGGTTGAAAGGTGAATATCGTATCTTCTGCGTCGGATTGGGGCTGGAAGGGACAAAAGAAAAGGGAAGGTTGCATTTCGTCCTGGGCCTGCTAGTGGACTCATTACAGTAAAAGCTACCTAGTAGGCCCTTGCCTTAATATACTATTGGCAGGCTAGGAATTTCCATATACATATAGAAAGCGAAGGGTTTACCGAGGACTTGTGAGAATCCTCGAACCTCCTTGAATCTTGAATCCATCTAGTGAGAGTGAGAACGATTCCGATAGTCTCATACCATTTTTTCTAAATTTTAGAAGCACAAGATATTAAAAATACTAAAAAGGTTAAAAATATTGTAGGATACCAAAAGAAATCGCGAATCGGCTACTGCCAACAAAAACAAATTGTAAACCGATCGATATCTTCTACAAGCAAATCGAAAAGTTATTCTATATAACAAAATTAAGTTGCATGACTCCTCTACGGGGAGGTGAAACGTAGGTTAAGGAAAGCATAAAAGCGTGGTCCTTGACAACCAAAACAGAGTCCTTAGAAATTGGCTGTGACCAGCACAAGCGTGAGTCGCTTGGTGTTGGAAAGAAAGTTTCAAAAGTGTGTTTTCGTTATTTTGGTGTTCTTTCTCTAAGTTAAATCAGTTTACGAGTTTTGAGTTTGTGTTATTGTGTTCTTCTTCTTTCATCAATTTTCGGTCTCACAAGACCAGTTTCGGCATTCTACAATATTATACCAAAAATATTAATAATTATAATGGGTAGTATATGTAGAGTGGTAATCGTGATTCGGTGCCTAGTGGCATCGGTTCGGTGTGTTGGTGTGCGAGTAGTGGAAGAGAGTGGAGTGTGTAGGTAAAGGGGATGGCAACGTGCTCGTGTATGAATGATACTGGTGCTGGAAGTGTGTGATATAAAAAGGCCAAAGAATTGTTTTTTTTTTGTTCATTCTGTTTATTTAAGTTATTTTTCGCTTTCTTTCCTTTTAATAAATGTTTTTGATTAATAAGTTGCGGTGTACTTAGTTATTCGAAAACCTAACCTCAAACAGTATACAGAAATAGAAATGAAGATTGAGAAACCCGAAACTATGAAAATATTATATTCATATATATGGGTGACTGCACTCACGATCTTCGTCGTGCGATACCACCAAGCGGGCTAAAGCGGAACTACGCTCTATGTCGCGTCGCGTTTGATTTCTTCGATGAATTCTGACGGGTCGTAAATCCGCCACGCTACTGTGGTATTGCGAGTTATGAAGGACTCTAGCAAAGGAAATAGTATTAAAAGCGGTATCGGGTTCGACTTGAGCGTTTGGGGTGATATCTGGGGTGCGTACGGACGGACGAGTGACCGCGTGCA